GTGGTGGACAAAGAGAGAAGAGGAGGGACAAAGAGAAGCTAGATGAGAAAGAGCAAGGAGGACAAGAGAAGGATAAGAAGAGGAAAGAAAAGAGAGAGGAGAGAGAAATTAAAGAGCCAGAATACCCAAATAATTTGAGAAAAAAAATAGAAAGGGGGAGGGGGGGTCACATGCTTGTCACGTGCCTGGGTCAACGCCGGAATTGAAGTCAATGCCAGAAAGTTGATTCAGGTGGTCTTAGACAACAAGAAATTTTATTTGGGTGGTCTTAGGCAACATATTTTCAAGTGGGTGGTTTTTGACAAAAAAGTATTTGAATTGATGGGTGGTTTTAGACAAGATTTCCTTAAAATTCTTACAATTCAATTTCTGTAAGGAAATTTTTTAAATTACCACCCAAAAATGTAACCATTTTCGAACTAACCACCCAAAAAATAATTATTTCAAATTACAACCCCTTAAATCAAATAAATGCTCAGATTACCACCAATTTTGAAAATCCGATGATTTTTTGACCCGTGGGCCCTACGTAACGGCTAAAAACGGCTATTTCAGCTTTTTAATTGTTTTCTTCCCTGATTTTTCCTACTAAACTCTTCCCCTAATTCAATTTTCAATCCTACCTGCAATTTATCCACAAATTTGAGCTTTTTTGTAATTGCAACCTCATCTTCAACAACGAATGAACTTTAATTCGCATAAGGTAATCTCACTATTCTATAAAAATTAGGGTTCTTGTGACATTGTAATTGGGGGAATTTGTGGGCTAATTAATTAGGGAGATAGCGAAGAGAGATGTTGCCGCTAATGACGGAGGCGCAGAAGATGGCGGAAAGAGAAAATTGAACACGAGATTGTGAAGAGTTTTTCAATGGGTTTCATTTCAATCGGATTTGAATGGATTGAATCGATTTGATTTGATCTGGTGAGAAATTTCTAATTTGTATGGGTGTTTGATTTGGTGGTATAAAAAATTAGGGTTTTTTTATTGATTTGGGGAAGATGAGAAATTTGAAGAATAGAGAAGAAAGGGGAAGAAATTAGGGTTGGAGGAGAGAGAAAGAAGGTGGGAAAAAAGGAGCTTTTATGGCGGAAGAGGTGGAGTAGGAGCCAGGAGGAGAAGATGATGAAGAGAAGAGAGGAGAAAAAAGAAGGGAAATAACTAAAGTGGAACCCACAGGTCGGAAACCACCGGATTTCTAAAATGGGTGGTAATCTGAACAATTATTTATTTTAAGGGAAGGTAATTTAAAATATATTTTTTTTGGGTGGTTAGTTCGAAAATGGTTATATTTTTGGGTGGTAATTTAAAAATTTTCCTTTCTGTAATCATGTTTTCAATTACACATTATACTTATAATGACTTATTGATATTTCCTCACTCTTCCCTCAATGCAATTTCATGTGATCAATCCGTGCATTGCATGAGCCAAAAAGATAGTTATTTAGTAATGAGAAAATTATTTAGGGGTGGACAATTTATTAGGAGTTAGTTAATTTGCATATGATTTTTAAGGGTAAACAAATTATTTAAGCGTGAGGTAATTGTATGTGATATTTAAAGGTGAGCAAATTTTTAGGGGTGGATGAGCAAATTCTTTATGGGTGAACAATTTATTTAGAAGTGAGCAAATTCTTTAGGAGTGATCAAACTATTTAAGGGTAAGCAATTGATTTAGGGGTGAGGTAATTGTATATGATTTTTAATGAATAATAAATTATTTAGAGGTGAGCAAATTTCTAAAGACAATTTTAGATGATTTTTTAGGGGTTTTGAAAACAGTCTAATTAATTACTATGTCCAAAACTCCAAATGTAATAGATTTTACGTACTCTATATAATTTCAAACATCCGCACAAATTATTGTTGCACAAATCAAAATTATACATTCATAACAATTTCGATATGCCCAAAGAAAATAACATCTAAACTCCATCAGTCCATCATTATTGTTAACAATTATTTCTTGTATTGTGTTTTACAAATTGGACCGTGCGCATCCGAGATTAGTAATTAAAAACTAAGGGAGTAAAAAAAATGAAATGTACAATAATATAATAATCGATATGTGCGTGTTACACTGTTACGTATTACTTTTAATGTGTTTAAAAAATATTATAGGGCCAAATGGGCCACTAAGTTGAGGGGGACGTTTTCTTTCTTCGTCAGTAGAATCAGAGGATCATAGGCCGTTCGACAGTTCGACACATCACCTTCTTCCTCTTCAGTAGAACTTATAATCCCTAGAATTCCCTGTTTCCTCATAGGAGAGCTCTTCTTCTACTCTCAATTTTAGGAAGTATTGATATTCTCTCATCCCTTTCTTGCCATTATGTTGATAAGGAAACTTTTTCTTAATTCTTTGGCCTCACATCAGATTAAAATACTTCAGAAAAAATTTGAAGAAAACCCAAAAAAAAAATTAACATTGCAATGATTGTGAAGAGTTATACGAAGAAATGGCTCCTAGTATTGCAACGGTGACTAACTCGAAGCATGGTGTGGATGGGTTCGTAGCGGCTGTTGCTGGGTTCGTAATTTACTCGAAGAAGAAATGTAATCTTGTATTAACCCTAGTACTTTCAGTTGCTCATGGTATTTAAGGACTGGTTGCAAGTGTCAAATTTAGAAGATTTGGAGAAAGATAATGCCATCGATGTGTCGTTTTTCAATGATGATAATGTGTTTAAGGGTGGATTACTTTTCTTTGATAAAGAGTTGGATACTGCCATATTTTACACTCATCAACCCAATATCATTAAACCTGTTAAGTTCTATGAGCAGCATTACATTCCTCGTGGAATGAAAGCATATTGCATAGGACATTCAATAGAACACTACTCCTTTAAATTTGGGTATGTTTGTAAAGATTGTCAGTTGAATATGGATTCTTATGAGAATCGTGGGAAGATCCTACATCAATTACCTCTCAACTCGGGGGACTCTGGCGGCCCTCTATTCAACAAAAACTGCGAGGTTTTTGCATTTGAGTCGCGTGGCTATGATGAATCTTATGTTTCATTTGCAATTTCGTGTGTATCTGTGAAGTTACTACTTGCAAATCATTTTGAAATACTTGAGGAAAAAAGGAACATGACATTTGCTGAGATTTTAGACGAGATTGAAGAAAGACACAAGCTTGATCCGTATTTCGCTCAACCGATAGAAGCAGCTGGAGAAGAAACAATATCAAATAATGAAGACTGAGTACATTAGTATTATCACAATGTATTACTTTAGGATTGCTTTTGTTAATCGTAGGATAGTGTAAACCTTTGTAAGAAAGGAGGAAAGACGAACCTTTTTACTATGAGTAGAAGTTATAAACTTACAAGAATTTTCAATGTAGTGAATTAATTTCCTGTAATGCAAATCAAATCCTCTTTGCTTTTTTATATATTATTACTGCATTTATCTCTCAATATAGGATGATCCCTTGAGTCCAAAGAACTAAGAATGGTACAAGAAGTCACCACCTCAACTAATTATCTTCATGCGTGGCCAAATTCTTTGGTTTTAATTCATCATCTGGTATGCTTACTTATGACTGACTTAACTTGTTGTATATTATGTATGCCAGTTTTTATTGATTTTAAAGTGCTATGAACTATTATCAGGAGCATTGTGGCATCTAATACCTCTGCCTTGTTTTCTTTGCTAATGGTTTGTACTCTAATGTTTGGTGGTTTGATTTGCGGCCCATTTGACTAGATTGTAATAATTTGATGTAGTATTTGTGTGATTATTGTTTATGTTTGACCTGAAAATGTAGTTGATGGTGTTGTTGTTCATTGTGAAGTCTTGTGAATCTTGGTGGTTGCTTGGAGTTAAGTGCCTCAGTTGTAGGCAATCAGACTTTTTTCTGTCGGATATATAATAGATTTGATCTATGAGTTTGGGTTGATGTTGAGGGCAAGCATTATCGATGACCATGAATAACATTTATTTGAGTAAGGTTTTGAATAAACACTGATTTTACTGTTTGCATGGGTTCTGTTTCTAGTTGTGATTGATAGCATGTACATGTGAATGCAACCCAGTCAAAGATGACTAATCAGAGCTTTGGTGCTGTGGAAGAAGGGAGGGATCAAAGAGCTAGCTGTCCATCCACAAACATTGTAAGAGAAGGCAAAGATTAATTTACCATCATATTACAAGTTCTCATGTTTTTACTTTGTCATTATTCTTGACAAACAATTTCTAGCTTTGAGTTATATTTGCTGACAGACTTTGCCATGAAAAATGCTATTTTAAGTATAAACTATTTTGAGGTCTTGGAATGATGAAGTTCATTTTTAATTAGCCTTATGTATGTATTTTGAATATTGAGGAGAATGAAGGATGGTTAAGGAAATGGAGATGGCGGGAGGGGGAAGTGGAAGGATCTTGAACATTTTGAGACACTGGAAAATTTATGGAAGTTGGAGCTGTTTGAGCTTTGTCCTTGGTTAATTTGCTTCCCTGCTTGTTTCTGTCAGGATTTTCTCTCTCTTTTTTTTCCACCTTTTTGGGCCATTTCTTGGGTAAAGTCTCCCAGTAGAGGTCTTCCATAAACTATTAAGGCATGCGTACCAATCCAATAGAGTTTCCTACTTACATGAGGAGCTTATGTCTATCATTTGCGTATAATGAATTACAACTTCTGTTCACTTGCAGTCTCATGGCTTCCTGTATATGTTTGTCATTAATATGTTAGACTTATCATTTTATTTTTTTCAAGATTTTTTGTCTTCAAACATTGAACGTATCTTGAGATATGATCATTGACTGTTGTTTCTTTGCATGGGTGTCTGCAGATGCTATTTCTTTTGTGACGTTTCTTCAAAAAGGGACCCTGAAACATACTTAAATTGTATTTATGCTTTGTATGATCATTATAGCAAGAACCTACAAATTTCGAGTAAGTATGGAAGTTCTGGTGTGCAGCTGAGCTGCCTCTTGTTATCAACACTCCTGCCTGGGTGAAAGGTAGGCTGTAATAGTATCTCCATCTTATATCAAACATATTCTTCTTTTCTTTCTTCCTTTGGGCATATATTTGACATGTTACTTTCATTTATCGTACTAAAGGTCTTGGTTTTGATATACTGGTCAATATGTTGAAAATATTGCTGCAACACACACGTGGTTATAATAAATACTCATTTGAGAGTTAAAATCTACCTGGTGGCCGGCCTGGTGCATTCTGGTTGGATGAATTTGATGAATGTTCTGTGAACCTGTTGGATATCACTTCTGTTCTCAAGGATTCTTACAACTGATCGATTGTAAGTTTCTGATTCCTGAAGTATATATTTATAATTTATGTGAAGGGATAGAATGCTAGTGATATATAGCTTCAATCATATATGCACAGCAATGCCATCATGGAACTTCTATTACTTTTCTAACTTTAAGAGAATTCAATTTTTGTGTTAATTGAACTTCCTCCCAGGGTGTTGGTGAAAAATGAAGAACGTCTTATCAGAGAGCTGCGATTGGTGGCTTAATTTAGGCAGTGCTTTCCAAGTGACAAGAGCATCACCACAATCGAAGAACTTGCTCTTGCATTAGCCTCCCTTACTCCTTACAAACTCCCTATAACAAGTATCAAAATTTGGTATCTTCATTTTGAGGTCTGCTGAGTAAACTAGGTAACCTTTCTGTGATGGTTTTATGCTTTTGAAGTATTACTACTCTCTAACACATAATTTCATAATTGATATCGTTCAATACCTGGATCAATATGTACCAATGTACAATTGCCAGTTTCAATGATCAGGGCCATATTTATGTAATGTTCATGCTACGCACCAAATTCTGAAGTCTTCTACAGTTTAAATGCGAGCTGTTAGCTTTTCAGATTCCCAATCTTTGCCTCTCTGTCGTGGCCTTGGTATGTTGTATATATCTATATTACTATTATTAAGATACAATCACTACTGGATACAAAATTTTGACAGTAATGCTGGTTTATATTCTGTTTTATATGCCAATTAGATTATGCTTCAGGTTTTGAAAGAGATATTTAGTCATAATTTGTTATTTGAAAGCACACTATGCATTGGCATAGGACATAGTGATTGTATGATATGGGAAATATATGTTTATATATGATAGCAAGTCCTATAAGGAGGCAATACCTGTGCACTAAACCATTGACAGATTAGTTCATTCATAGGGGTGAAGTCACTTGAAAATCCCTTTAAGTCCATTACTTATGACTCTTTGACTGCTTTGTTTTCCCAACTTAGAGCATCTTGTTGTTTCTCTATGGCCACTAACTTTACCAACATTGTATTATACAATGGAGCAAAGCGATTGGTTGCCACCGGATTCTGTTCCATATTGTTTAGCAAGTAAGCTCAAGACTATACAGTTAAGTGGAGTACAGAGGACTGGCGCTTCCCTGAGGGTACTAGCGTATATTCTGAGTCACGCAGATGTTTTGGATAAGCTTTGCATAGATTTTGAATGGCTTAATCTCATAAATGAACATAACGAAGCACATGTAATGTGGATGGAATGTCAGCTCTGTAGGTCGCTGTTCAAACTTCCAAGGAGGTCCTCAACTTGTGAGGTTGTGGTTTCTGGTAATTATGTCACAGCATCAGGTAATGCCTTACAAGACGGATACCTTACCTGTCGAATGTATGTGGGCGATTAGACCTAATATGTGCAACTTGTTTTCCAAATGCAAGCATTCAAGCTTATGAGTTGCAGGTATTTTATTACTAAGTTCCTATTAATTGTTGTTTTATGCATTGCATATAGTTTGGTTTAGGCTTAACAATGTTTCTAGAAATGATGGATATGTAATTTTGTACGTATTGTAGCCGTGCAATGTACTGGTCTTTGCCTCTTATTGGTATTAAGTTCATATGTTAAATTCAAGTTATTTTACTTCTCTTTGTGGTTATGGCAATCTTTCATTTATTGATGCTGTCTGTAGTATGAACTCTGAGGGTTATCTTAAGAAAAAAATCCAAAAGCTCACTATAAATTAATTGGTAGAGATTATTAACAATGCCTAGCATTTTTCCTCGTGTCTTTTGGTTATGAATATCATATATAGATATACATATTTTCTGACAATAAAGCTAACCAAGTTTATGTTCCTGTTCAATCTTAACGTTGCTCTTTGTTATATGTTTTGGTCTGAAGTCTGAGGTTTTTTAAAATAATTTGGAAAGAAAAAGGAGCATGTTGAGTGCAAAATCTTTTTGAGAAATCACATGATGATTTTGTGTTTTTTGACCTTGAATTTTCTTTATATCTTCAGCTATGGGAAATTTTGAAATTTTTGACTTCTTATGATTCTATGAAAGACTTAAACTGAAGTAGGAAAAAGGGAGCAGGGAAAGAGTGAGTTGACCGATAAAACAAAGCAAATTGTAAACTTTCAATGGCATAAATTAGAATGGTAGTTAGCAGTACCTCAAGCAGGCTCATTTGTTATTGTGTGTGTGTGTGTGTGTGTGTGTAATGTATGTTTAGACTTCTTTTTACCATGGTCGGCCCGTGGGGGGAGGGAGAGGGGCTCCTTGTAGCGTAATTTTGATGACTACACGGAAGCATATCCAACTTATGATGGGATGGAACTCATGAAAGTATAAAATGTCAGTCCTATTTCTCATTGCTACAGCTTAACTGTTCTTTGTGATTAGCTTAACTCAGGTTTGGCAATTACCTTGACTACTGGCAACTAAAAGCTTCCCTTTTTCCCCCTTTTTTGGGAAGCATATCTACATTCAATACAAATTCTATTGAGCATAAGAATTAGGAGTAGGAATGATGTTGAATGTGGATCTTGATTGTTCAATATGAGATATTTTAGTTCAATAAATTCTTACTCGTTCTCTATATTATTAGAAGAGAAGTAGAAATAATGAACTTTGAATATTTAGTGAATATGGTCCTTTTAGGGGTTAAAATTTTATTATGATAATTTAAGTAATTGCTTGATTTTCAACTGTTTGTATATTTGTGTACTCCTTATTGAATTAGAAAGTGTGTGTAATTTTTTGTATGTTTGTAGATAATTGCTGCTTTGGAATATTGATGTTGAGGGGTTTTTGTTTGTGTGATTGAAAATGGGTAAATAATTAATCAATCAAGGTTAATCACTAGCTATCATTGTATTATTATTGGTCTGATTCTCTTTTGAAATGTTGACCTATGAACCATTTTTTGCACATTTAGTTAGCACATCCATTTCAAAAAATATACAAAGTATACAATTAGTAAACCAAGCACCTCTTGATATCAATCCCATTGTTCCATTAACGTACGTATTTAACGATGGACAAACAAGTCTTGAGGTAAGTGGTTAGATGGTTACTAATTTAAGCAACTCAAGGTCTCTGTTTTCGAATCTAGAACTGCTTATTAAAGTGAAGAAGTATTAAAATAAATAGTATGGTGTAGTATTCATTTTAATATTTCGTCTTTTTTTTTCTTGTCTTATTTTCCCTGTAACTGAAAAATGTTGGGGGAATAGAAGAACTCCTTGTAGCATCAAAGAACTTAGGAAACCATGTTGACCCATGTCCAACTGATGATGGGAGGGAGGCCTTTTATCTTTTTCTTTCTTACTACTATAAGTAGGTGGGATAGCCTTTCAGTACAAATTAGAACAGCTAGGAATGAAAAAGAGGTAGGTTCCTTTATATTACATTGTATTACTCTAGAGTTTTTGGAAGAATGTGGAAGCTTTCAAGTATAAGATTATCTTTGTTGGTGGGGAATTTGGAGAGTTCAATCATGTAGAATTATCAATTTTATGTTATAATGTCTTTTAATACAAACTAAAATGACTGAATCTTATGCTAAAGATGTTTTTCCTCCATCAGTCCATCCTTTTGTGTTTGCCCCGTTCCCAGTTTTCTGTAAAGTTGTATTGGGCAGGTAGATATTTTATTCCTTCACCATGTGAGGTAAGAAATGTATTAGAGAGGAATGTTAGGGTCCTTGTTAATAATAATGAAGTGGGGCAATCTTTTGGTGACAAACTGGAAAAGAAAATAGGGTAATCTTTGAGGGACACAGAGAGTATAGCTTAGACTCAAGGAAGGCTTATTGAGTTTAGTAGAGTTGTTCAATCATAAACGATGGTAAAGCATTACTTGCATAAAGAATGGCTATTGTCAATCTTTTTTATTTTTGTTTGATAAACACTTGTACATTTGAATTTTAGTTACCTAATGCACTTTACTTCTAGAGTATTATTGGAGAAATATGCATGATGTTATTTGGAATTCGAAGGAATATCATACATGTTTTACCTACTGTTATTTTAATATCAACACCTACTGTTATGTTGCAGTTGGTGGTGAACTGGTGAAGTAACAGACTGATTTGAGCCCGTTGGTTGTGAAGCTCCTGTCTGACTCGATAATTAGAATATCCTGGTTTTGAATTTTCCAATTTCCTGAAAAGTTCAATTATTCGTTGATTAAATACTTCTTAAGAATAAGCATCTTATATCTTGACTACAATAGACCTCCCTTAGAATCAGGAAGGTGGATGTTTAAGCTTGAGAAGAACCTATGCAGGTGCTACCATTCCTACCAGCATCAGTTTAGTCTTTGCTAAAGCTTTCAACTTTGGATCTAGAACATGCTTGCATCAGTATGGTACAGTGCCTATTTTCATCTAGAAGTTGAAAGATTTTGAAACTTGTACCTTTGTGAAAATTAGCTTTCTTGGGTGTCTATATATTTGATCAAAATTCAAAAGTTGTCTGGTGGGTTCGTGGATGATCAAACTTCCTTAAAAATTGGATTAGAGAAATTCAGCGTTGATGTACAAATGGGGAATAGGAAATTGGGTAGTGAAATTGCAATTGATAGGTTTTTGAGAAGCTGATTTTCTTCCTTAAATTTTTATGTAAAACTCGGTTTTCTGATCTGATTTTTTCGCTTTTAATTGGTTATTACTTCCCTTTTAATTGGTTATTACTTCCCTAGCATAATCATTTATGAACATTAAAATATTATTGAACATAAAAGTATACAACTACCATCATCAAATAAACCAAACAAAGCTATGTTCTTCAATTGGGATAAGAGTAAGATTGAAATATTATTTTGGAGTTTAGAGCTTAGTGGACTTTGCCCAAAATTATCAAAAATAAAAAATAAATTAAAAGTAAATAGATAAATGAATAAATAAAAAGAACAACAAATATTTCTAGCAATTTGAGGTTTGTTAAAAAAAATAATACTCCGTAATAATAATAGTAATAGTAATAGTAATAGTAATAGTAATAGTAATAGTAATAGTAAAGCTTGGATTATCAAATGAGCTACTATTAGCAGATCAAATTTGTGGATTTAATTTGAGGTATACCGCTTAAAGCGTTAAACCTTAAGATAAAAGGGAAATGATAGCCTGATAGGAGCTAGCATAAAGGCCTTAAACTCCGAGAAGCTATTAACAGATCAGATTGACTGGAATCCTTGCTCACTGTTCAAAATGTGCCTACAAAGAGCAAGGTTAACTAAAATTGAACATGATCAGATGTGGAATACAAGCTTAATAGTTTCACCTAAATTTTGGTATCACTTCGAATACTCCGTGATAGGAATATAGTGTTTACCACTTCCCCTGGTGTAAATGGATGACACGTTTTGTCCTTATTCATAAACTATTAAACTTTTGTTTAGATTTTTATAAAGTTATAATAGTCTAATGATATATAGGTGAATAAGTTTTTGCATTAACAAACGTGATAAAAAAAATGTGACATTTATCATTTATTTTTGGAAATTTTGTCAGAAATCACCCGTATAAAACTGTTTTTTTGTCAAAAACCACCCGAAAAAAATTTTGTTGCCAAGGACCACCTATTATAAAAAAGTAGTTGTCAAACACCACTATGGGCTGAATTCCGGCATTGACTGACCAACTCCGGCGTTGACCCTAGTCACGTGGCTTGCACGTGACTTTTAATAAACCCCCCCTTCCCAAATTTGTTTTTTTTTTCCTTTTGAAAATTTCAGACTTCCCTCTATAATCTCTCTCCTCTTCCTTCTCTCTCCCCTCTCTGTTCTTCCTTCCTCTGTCAGCCATTAATACCTCTCAAAATTGCAGAACCGATTGGACATCATCCTTAATTGCGAAGGTAAAATCAAGTAATTGCAAGTTGTTGGAACAGTGATTTCGTGGTTTTAAAGGTAAATTTTTTTCTACTTTTGCCCTAATTTGTACGAAGCTTTTTTCCTTCTTTTTGCTATTTTTATTATCTGGGTAAATTTCTGATCAAGCTGAGTCATAATCAATGGGTAAAGGTACAAATGGCAAACGCAAGACACAATCAGATGGGGGGACCAAATGGGAGATAGTTCATAAAGCAAGGTACGATTTTATGAGTATTAGTATGGGTTAATGGTGTATTTTATGGGTGATTTTAAAACTGAATTATGTCCTTGTATCACTAATTACGTGTGTTTACCACTAATTATTTGATTAATTTGAAAATTGGGCAAAGTGAACTGTTTGAATGGGTTTCATTAGCTGAAGCAATTAAATATTGTGAATTGTGTTGCTTTATTGGTATTTGAAGCTATAATTTGATATTGTTAATTGTTGCATGTTGATTATCTTATTTAATTAGTAATCTAGTTATCCTTTATATAGTACTTGTAAATTGTAGTTAGTGTGATAATCTAGTTATCCTTTATATGGTACTTGTTAATTGTAGTTACTGTGATAATTTAAGTACTCTATGTTGGTTTTTGTTGTTGTGTATCAGGTTTAATGGGCAAAAGTTTATAGATGTACCTAGGTATAGATTAAAAATTGGGGAAATGAACTTTAGACTGTATTATGGTGGGGTTTTTGTCACTAATAAGAAGAGTAGACAAACCACTTATGAACCAGGGCCTACTGGTTATCATGGACTTAGTTTGTACCCAAATGTAGAGGAATGTTGTTACTTTGAGTTTGCCTACTGGATTAGGCAGGATTTGAAGTATGAGGATGTTGGTGAGATTTGGTTTAGGAAAAAAGAATTGTACTTTATTTACTGGGAGGAAGCAATTAGAGAGTGATAAAGAGATTCCTGAGCTGTTGGAATCCCCTGAAAGTGATGGTTGGTACAACTTGTATGTTGTACATCATGAGAGAGTGGATAATGTTGGGGGAGGGAAAAGCCAAGAGGAGGGGTGATGTGTCTATTTTATATAGTATTTACCCCGTCCCTTGGTCATAATTAGTAGTGTTTTTGGCTCTTTAGAGCCACTTTTATTACTAATTGGTGTTTTCCAGTGTTTTCGCAGATTTGGTTGACTTTTGCAGGGATTTATGCTTTTGGAGTATTTTTCCGAGATATTTTGGAGCAATCACGAGCATTGGAGAAACACGACCAGATTTTATAGCCCAGGTCCGGTTAGAGCCATCGAACCGGTGATTAAGGGCTCGGTATAGGTGATACCGGGGCATTTGGAACGAGTATTCAAGACCCAAAGAGGAAACCCAGATTGGCCCGAAGAATTGGAGCCCAATCGAAGTCCAAATATTGGCCCAAATGAGCCGCCCGGCCAAAAAGGCTAGCGCCCGGAGGCGCGCCCGGCCTGGCGGGAGAAGCTTAGTCTGGCGCCCGGTGACGCGCCCGGCCGGGCGCGAGATTTGTATTGGAGTCAAAAAGGCTCGCCCGATCGGGCGCGTGTATTTTTAGGGGACGATTAGTGTCGTTTTAATTTGTTTTAGTTTAGGATTTTTGTACGGAGTATAAATACTCCTTCGTAATACGATTTTATTATCTTCTCTCTTAGACTTTCTCTCTCTACTTAGTTTTCTCTCTCTTAATCTCTCTCTAAACTTTTGTTCTTAATTCTTTCATTAATTCCAGATTATTTTGGTAACGATTTCTCTTCCTTTAATCTTATTTTTATTTTTATTCCTTTCATCATGATTTATTTTATTACTTTGATTAGTTTAGTTTTTAATATGTGTGAGTAGTTTAATTTCTAGGGTTTATGGGGATCTAATAAATAATATGAAGGGGTAAATTATTGTTGTTGATTATCAATGCTAGATTAATTTCCTATTGATTGATTTAATGCCCTGTGATTAGATTAGGCCTATCTTTTATGCATGAGTTTGACAATATTGATTCAAGAATCGAGAGATGAGAATTAATGTTTAGGTCTAGTTTCAATAGGCAAGTTAGTTTATAAATGGTTAAGTCAAGACTCGAGAGATGAGATTTAGTACCGGTAAATTAATTGTGTAATTGTAATACGTAGCGAGAGCCCTTTACAATCTGGTTAATTGATGCATTGATGATTGACTATTATTGATTATTGGTATTGCATAATAATTTCTTATTGAATTGTTTTAATGTTTTACAATTGCGGCTTGTAAAAGTATAGCAATATTAAATTGATGAATCGAGTAGATGTTAATTTGATATTAAAGGCTATTTTCAATAAGGACTTAGATCTAGTAAATTGCGAGAGCCTGTTAGTTCTATGTTGATTAATAAATTGCGAGAGCCTGTTAATCATGTTATTTATGCAATGTCAATGATTGATTACTATGTTTTACCCTGGAGTATTATTTATTGGTGAACCTATGCCCTATATCCTTTTATATATTATTTTCTCCCTATTCCTACTCTTTGTAGTTTAGTTTCTTGTTCAACTATAAATATTGGTTACTTAAATAATTTAGATTATAATATTTAATTAGGAGTAAAAAGACTTGTTTCCCTGTGGAGATCGACCCTACTTCCCTATCTACCTTAGTTAGTGATTTAGGTAATTATTTTTTATTAGGGGATACGACTCTACCCTGTCAAAATTTGGCGCCGTTGCCGGGGAAACGGTTTTATTTTTATTTCTGATTGTTTTTGTAGTCTAGATTATTTCCCCTTTTTGTCAAAGAGAGCGTTAGTTCTCTGAGACAATTCTCATATTTGCTTCTAGTTTTTGTTTATGCCCAGGTGTTCCAGATCAGGTTACATCCCTTTCGATCCTGAGATCGAACGTTCCTTCCATAGACAGAAAAACTTCTACAAGCAAATCCTGGCGGATTCCGGTAATAATAACAATAATCACCGCGATCCTCCAACTGATTCTAGCAATTCAGAGACATCATCAGAACAGAATCAGAGATGGCGGCTCCAAAGAAGCTTAGTGATTATTTGCAACCAAAGCTTACGAATTTTCCACATCTCACCCCTACTCCGGCTCTTGATGGGGTTCAATTTGAAATTAAACCTCAATTTATAACGATGATAGAGAGGAAGCAATTCATTGGAGCCAAGGGTGAAGACCCAAATCTTCACATTGCCGACTATCGTCAATATTGTAACACCATCAGGCAAGCCGGGGTCACTCAAGACCAAATCAGGGAGATTCTCTTTCCCTTCTCTTTAACTGGAAAAGCTAAATTGTGGTTTAATGGTTTAAATAGAACTACACTTGGTATAACTGACTGGGAAACTCTTGTTTTGAATTTCTATAACAAGTATTATCCTGCAGAGAGAACAACAATACTACGAAGTGCAATTCAGAACTTTGCCCAAGAAGCCGACGAGTCTTTATATGAGGCTTGGGAGAGGTTCAAGGACTTACAAAGAGAATGCCCTCACCATAATTTAGCGCAATGGCAGTTAATCCAAGCCTTTTATAACGGCATTGGAAATTCTTCTAGAATAATTTTAGACTCTGCAGCTAGTGGGAGATTTATGAATCTTAATGTTGATGATGTAGATCGGGTTATTGAAGATATGGCGATACACAATTCCCAATATGGGAATCCCAGAGGATTTTCTAACAAGGGGAAGCATAGTGTCGACTCTGTATCCTTTTTGCAAGCTCAACTGACCTCTATTTGTCAAAAATTAGATAATTTGAGCAATGCTAATGTAGCTAATGTTTCCGCGATTAATAATAATTCTAATGAGGCTTTCTGTGAAAATTGTGGTATTGTAGGTCATTGGTAGCAGGATTGCAGGAGTTCCGTGGAGCAAGTTAATTCCTTCCAAGCTTATAGGCAGAATAACCCATACTCCAACACTTACAATCCTGGGTATCGGAATCATCCATACCTTTCCTACCGGAGCACTAATGTTCAAAATCCACCACCACAAGAACCACAGGTGCCACAACAACAGCAACAGAAATATTATCATCCCAATTCTAGCCAGAAGAATCAACCACAA